AGACCAAAGCCCCAATAATATCTATGAATGATCGTGGTCCTTGAATGATTGCGATTCTTAAATAATAATATCTCCAAGATTGATCTGCCATGGGATCTTATATCGACACCAATGATGATAATTTTACATTCACCTAAGATTCCTTATAGATTCAGATCTTAATTCGAATAATAAAAAAATACCATACCGAATGAAATCTATTATATATCTCTATATTTCTTCTCATATCGGTCTGCAGAATAATAGAATAATATGTATCAATCTGCTTGATCATCCGATTATAAAGATATTATAATCTCCTTGACATCTTTAATATAAGATCTGATTCCAAGACGGATCTTATTTCCCAAAAAATATTATGCATAATCTGCTCCCATTGGCAACCTTTATAATTCATAAGATTCATCTTTCTTGAGTAATCCGACTAATGACATTAAGAGAATCTTCGGAGATTAATCTCAGAGATTTTTAAGAATGATATCAGTATTTACTTATTTATCCCAATATATTATATATAACTCCTCTTTTCTCATTATAGTAGATGATTATCTCGAATTTGAGATCGGATTTGCAATTATATATATATATAGATTTATATATTTATTTATTTATTATAAAATTAAGTCTAGACTAGATATCAATATGATAATGAGAATCATTTATTGGCTCCTGATTCCAACTAGTGTTAATCCTAACCCTATTAGTCCTAAGGCGATCCATTTTAGGCTGAAATTCCTATAATTTGACTCCGATATTTCTCTTATTTAATATATAATCTTGAATAATTAACAGAAATGAAAGCGTTAACTAAGATAATCTTTATATCTTGGACCTTGGCTTGTATTAAACCTGCAATATAACTCTCTGACTCGCCCAAAATTGAATCGAAGAATATATTGATTAATTTCCATTCTATATCAATAATATTAAACGGAATTCCAATAGAATTGATATTCGGTCTTTATTGGCAATATTAATCGAAATATGCACAAAGAATAAGTAAAATATTTCTTCTTTTCTTATAATAATTTGGTCTTAGAATGAATTATCAATTTTTCTAAGAAGAAAATAATTCTGTCTGACTCAAAAATTAGATTTCTTAGAATTATACGACCAAATTCCACGAAGATTAATTTTCTATTTTTCCTCAAGAAAAATTGGAATTTCTTGCCCCAAATCATCCTTTCTCTTGGAAAAATTGATTTTTCAGGGAAAATCTTCCAATAATTTCTCTTTTTCTTACGAAAACTCATATTTTTGAATCGAAAATCAATTTGTCTGGGGAAAATCAAAATAAAAATATTTTTGTTTTTTGAAATAGAAAATCAAGAAAAATATCTTTTTAGAGGCTGAACGTATAATTTCTAAAAATATTGTTTTGTTTTCTCTAAGAAAAAATTGGTTTTGATTAAAAGAATATAATGATATCGTTAAGTGTGTGCTCTCGTCGAAGTTGAAAGAGATCTCTAATAACTACTTTTGGAATAGAAGGGTACAATATTGTGGATAAATACGTGTTCATATCAAATCTCATCGAATTTATGAATGCTTTCTCTTGAAATATGATTTTAGAAGAGCAATCATTGAAAGATATAGAATCCGACCGTATCGGAAAAAGTCAATTCCATATAGTATTCACGATATAAAACGAAAGTCGGCGAATTATAAGGAAGCTTATCATATATATATATATGAATATAATGCATTTTATTCTATATCATATCCGACTCGAATATTCCCAATCATAAAATCAGAAAATACTACCGACCATAATATCAAATCCAACAACCTTTATCTATAATAGCTATATCTATGACCTCTACGAATAATAATGAGATAAAGAAAGAGATTAATTCATAATATAATCTTAATATATCTCAATATGACGATCTAAATATCCAAATTTCTAATTTCGACTAAACAATTCTTCATTTTTAATTTCGATGCTTATATTAGATTCTCGAAAAATATTATATATATAAAATAATAATAAATTTAAAACATTTTTCATATATAGAAATTATTTCTTTATTTTATAGAATGTAAATAATTCTAAATAATGCTCACTATAATAATAAAGATTTAAATATATTCCAATTTGGCGTGGTTTCATTTAAATTTAGGCTAGTATATAAAAATATATATAATTATTTAATAATATCAATAAAATCGATAACGATATTAATTTTCAGAGGCAATTAATATAATAGAGATAATAATGTCGCCATTATCCATTGAAATATCATCAATCAATTATCAATCATCATAATAATAGAGCTGCCACTAATTTAGATTCCCAATAGTTTATCGAATAATCCTAAATCTTAAGATTACGCCCGGTAAATTACCAATATTTCATTATTCAAATCTCAAACTCTTGGAAAAATATATAAAAATCAGAATACATAAAATTCTCGAAATATTCATATCCATTATGCAGACGACAATTCCTAAGATATGAATTTTCCTCTATTTCACAGCCCTCTACAACTCCCCAGAAGAAAACAAACCCCGCAAAATTGTGGAGGCATAACATATGTATATGTATGTATATATATATACATTCATATATATATATATACAAACGCAAAAGGTTGTGTATCTGATCTGTCTGCTTATGTGGTTGTTTGTTTGTTTCGTTTAATTGTGAGTATTGTTCTGTATGTTCGTTCGTGCTCGTGTTTTGTCGACTTATCTACAAGCCGTTTATCTACCTACCTACGCGTTTGCTTGTTGCTGCCCGATTTACAGACACGAAATCCATGTATTTGTCTGTTTGCTTCTTTCAGTCTGCATGTGGCTGCATGGTTGAAGTTGAACTAACATAAACATGATGAACGGATCTTTGCTATCTGTTCACGACTGCTGATGCTGTCCCGTTGTTTCCACGCTTTTAGCTTGAAAGTTGGTGTCCCGATATTACACAGATCCGCTGCTGCCCCGATTTCATGGTAATCTGGCGCACATCTCGATGTCTCTGCGGTGCTGCCCCACTTGGTGGGTCTAGTACCTATTCATGAGAGATTCACTGTAGTCGGAAATGTGCTGCATCTTGCAACACGTGTCAGCGGTCGCGGTAGCTCTGTTCTGGCTGGGAACCTGCATCCAAGGCAGGGTAAAATCAGCACCTTCAACGCACTCCGATCTTGTACTGAAAAGACTGGAGCCTAGCACGCTTTAGCGCTGCGAAGGGCCACAAGGGACCGCAACCGAAACTGTGGACAACCGGGAAGGCATCCCTGGCAAATCACATAATACTCCTGACATCTCTTGACGCCCAGCCTGCAAGCGAGGAAGCGGCGTACCAATGAAGTAACTTGAGTCGAACGGGAAGCTGACCGCAAGTGAAGGCCTCCTGGTCTTGGCTTCACTTCTCAACATGTCACCGCTTGCTATCGAAACAATGCCTTCTTTCAGTCCTCGGACCGCTTGGAGGGAGGAAAGAGGTGTAGACGAATAGATAGATAGACAGACAGATCGATAGATCCAGATACTCAGATAGATAGATACATAGATAGAGAGAGATTGAGAGATATACAGAGAGACAGACCAGAGACACACAGACAGACGTACGGACTGATAGATAGATAGACAGACGAGAAGAGAAAGATAGATAGGTATAGTATAGACAGATATGGACACAGCTAGATGGACAGATAGAGAGCGGTACGCATGAAGAAAAAGCTAGTGCCAAGAGGCTAAGAGAATAAACGATGACAAGCGACAGAACCTAACGAAAGCATTGCGAAGTCGTCGACCCGAAACGATAGCGCAGAAGGTCTGCGAGTAAGAGAGGCGCGGCTACAGACAACTCTGTTTGCACTGCTTGGAGGAGCGCGAGAGTCATGTAGGAAAGGCGACCGCTGAGGCTCTTACGGGAAACATGTTTTGCAGAAGTCAGAGTACCTCGATTCAGCCGGGGCTCCGCATTTGTAAGCTCGGAGGCCATGAGCTCCCAGCCGAACTCCACGCGCGCCCAGGCCACCTTCGAGGGGTTTTCTGCAGGAGTCCATCACATCTGGAGCCGGGCAAAACAAGACGGGGTCCAAAAACACGACTCGTGATTGGGCGTAAATGAGGCGACAGTAAATGTCCCCGTGTCCCGACGATTCCAATCAAAGCAACCGCGAACCTTTAGCTCGATGACCGCTAGCCCTATGGCCTCGCCCAGCTACCAAGCAGGACACATGGCCTTTCAGAATAGTTTCCTAGTCCTAGTCCTAGATATGTCAAAATTCCGAAGTCAGGCACAAGTGCCATCGCCAGTGACCTTGCACATGAATACCGGAATTGAAGTGCGTCCGTACCAACGTGTCTTGCCGCTTGCTTGCACCGTCTGCTGCGTGTCTTCTGCACTGCAGTCAGAAAACTCCAGCCCATAAAGGCTCGTTTATACCACGACACCAGAACATTACACCATCAGGTGTCATATTCCGTTATGATCTTCATGCAGTGGATATTCTGGCAGCCATTCTGGCTTTGCACTTTGCCACTATCTGCTGCAACATCCAACACTGTACCTGGCCTCACATAGGAGACATGCGTAACTGCACAGCAACACGTTCGCGATGGCGACACAAGCCGGCTTCCTGTACCAACCGAGAATGTACTCTTACTAGCTGCTTCCAGATGCTTTCAGTACAGATCCTACCCGGCTCAGCATTAACAGCCGTTGGCGCTGCTCCTGTGAGCCCTAGCGGCTAGCGCCCTGCAAGGCCCGAGGGACAGCTGGGACAGCTGGAGCATCAACGAAAATCTGCCCGCAGCCGTTGAAGTTCGACGAACATATATCAGTCAAACTACGCAAGCGCCCAGTGCAAAGATGCACATATCGGAAAGTACACCGGGCACGCAACTAGTCAGAGAGAGGTTCATGAGCCATTCAACTCAGGCTCCCTGCTTTGGTGTTTATCCTTCTCTGAATGTAGGGAAGATGCACGGCCCTGGTTTCAAGGCTGCCGCAATGTAAGAATGACCCTCTCAGACGGCTCCCGCGGCACTCAAGCGAGCTGGGGCTTGCAGTTGCCATCCTCCGTAACGTAGTCGGTTTAAGTTGGAAGCCCAAAGGCACTTCGAGAGTTCAGAAGTTGGCTCTTCGAGCTTGCAGCACCGGAACACCCCTTTATGTCCGGAAGCTGGCTGTGCAGATAACTACGAGTGCGCACATTAAGCCTATCAAATCACCCAGAATAAGCGACAGAGCACGTGCGTGCAATCACTACCGGCATTCCTCAGCCCGTGGAAATGGAAATTCAAAGTGGCAATCCTGCAGCCCTCAGCCCTGACACGGCCTCACTGCAATACCCCTCCCGGCAGATACACTGCCCGTCTTTGCACACTGTTGGACCTGCATCAAGGGTGTTGCTGACTGCCTCGGTTCAATTATCTGATCAGTTCCTCAGCACTGCAGTCGAAAGAGCCTCACAAGTATGTACGCCTGCTTGCGAAAGCTACGAAACTCAGTTCTTGTTGCTGCTGGGGGCAGCAGTCTTGACTGCCGGAAGAGAAACTCGTAAGCAGGCGGCTTGGCAATGCAACATCTGCAAGCACAGAGGTGCAGTTCTTGTCACCAACATCACATCCCTGAGAAAACAACACCAGTGAAAGAAGCCCAATTAAGCAACTCAGGCAGGCTTCCCTCTCAGAAATAAGGGCAAATCTTTGAGGCCGTCATGTCATATCTTCGCCACAGTCTTGCACTCCACGAGCCTCGCCCATGCCAGCACCACAAGAATTTGCAGCTGCCTCCAGTGTTGACATCGCAGCCCTCCTGCGCATACCCAGGTGTGCTCTCGGAACTTAATCTCCCTTCTCGAGCCCTGGTTACAACGAAGCAAGTCTTTGAAAGGTCGAGGGTCTTTGGAGAAGGGTGCCGAATGGCACGTGCAAAAAGATTGCCTGCTAGCAAGGTCTTTAGGCACTAACCAGGATAGCTCTGGATCATGCAAGCTTTTGCAGGGCTTTCCACTGCACCTGGAATCGAAAGATGTTCTCGGAGTTCTGCGTATCACAGTGTCCGACCGCGTGCCACCGTTTCGAGACCCCAGTGGTATAGTTGCAGCTTCAAGCAAGGAAGGCCTAATGATGTTTGCGGCTTTCCCCCCACAGCACGGGCAAGGAATGTCGAGTCAAAGCCTACACCTGAAGCCATAAATCACGAGCAGAGGTAAACACGGCCCTTGGCACTGTTCTCCAAGACTACGGGATACGGATGCACTCGCAACTTCGGCAAGATCCTCTGCCTAGTCGCTGCTTGAAGCTCAAAATCATCGCTGATGCCTTCAGACAAGATAGCGGCTCCTGGGATGGGTCTGGCCCGCTTCCCAGCACACCCGCACGCGGGGGCATGCAGTACCCATCCTTCCACAGGGAAGCGAGGGAAAGTGCGACACAACTCTGACACGGACACTTCTAGTGTGCTCAGGTGCCTTTGATCGCCGTCCCTACATAACTCAGCTCAAGGGCGTCTACGCTGGCATGGACCACTGGCACATGCCCAAAGTTGCGTGAAACGCATACAAAAGCGGAGTACTTTGTGCTCATGATTGTGTTTCTTCTGGTGCAAAAATGGTTGCTATAGATTTAATCCACTGGGCCTTCAAAACCTGGTGCTCATTTCTGCCTGTGTGATATGTAAGGAACCTCTATTTAACTGTTAGTGAGGGCGGCAGCATATGAAGTACTATCCCAACCCAGATGACAGGTACTTCTGCTGGGCATGTCCTCACATGTCCTGGTGTGTCTCACACATCGCTGGGACCTTGCCATCCTTGCCTGCTTTACCATGGACTTCGTCGTGATTTTTTACGGGCGCAAGACGTCGAAGGATCTCTCGACAATGGCATCGAAGCTTCCCGAAGAGTTAAGGGTTCAAGCTTCGCTAAGCAGCATTAAACTGAAGAAATACCGGGATAAGGCAGCACCGTTCGTCCGCTGGCCTCGGCGCAAAGCCCGGCATTGCAAACGCACTGGCCACCCGAGCAGGACGTAGGCCCTGACCGGACCCAAAGATGCACGGACCAGGATACGAGAGTTCCCCGACACAGAAGCTGATTATCCGAAGGATCGGGAGCTCCACTGCACCTAGTGGCCGTCCCTGCTGTAACGATAAATGTGGCGTTGAACTCTGAGAAGCCCACATAGCACAGCTGCCGCCGAAGGTAAGTAAAGTAAAGACTGCTCAAAAGAAACTCGACAAGAAGAAACTCGAACCGGCAGCCTTTCTTACGCAACTGAACTTTCTAGCTAGGCTCTGTGGCCCTGGGAGCATACGCTGCAGCGCCTCTGGTGCGACTGCAAAGGAACAGCTTGCAGGTCCCGCCGGTGTTGGTGGTGTCGCACAGGCCGTCTGCACCTGATTAGAGTTCGTATGCCCTGACTGGCTCATCATAGAATATACTACAGTATAAGGTAACACAGTACAAGACAATATACTGTATACTATACTGTGCTGTACCGTAACATGCGACACTACTCTACTCGACTGCACCGTAACCGTAACAACACCATCCTATCCAATCCAGGCCAGGCTTTGCTATGCGATGATAAACCATACTCTACTCTACAATACTGTGGCGTGAGGATGTGATATGGTATGACGTGTTATGAAATCATACGATATCATCTCATGACATGGCATTTTATGGCATAACATACACAACATATCATAATGCAACGCAGTTTGACTGAAACCGTAAGACAAACGAACGCGACATAATGTCATGTGTTGTTGTATTCAATAGTATGCTATTTTAGCCCAAATTATAGCCTCAGATCCTCACACGAACCGCGTCACGGAGACCAGGCTGCCGAGCTGCTCACACGCTTTTTCTTCTTCTTGCCGTTCGACACGGGCTTGTCTTTGGAGCACTGGTAACCTGATTCTGACGGTTTCAGGGATTAGGATTGAAAGTTTGCTATAGGGAGTATGGGGCGGGATTCACGAGAGAGAACAGCTCAGAGAAGAGCAAGCCATGCTTAAGGCGGCAGCTTAGGACAGACTTGGTCTTCTGTCAATCTAAGCGAAGACACTCGGTCCGTTTCCCAGAGTATATTTACACCCTGCTCGTGCATCAGTAGAAAATCGATCTGTTTAGTGCTACTCGGAGAAGTATTTTTGCCTGGCTGTTCTTGGCACTTGGCCCTCCTGTACTCTCACGGATTGGGCAATCCGACTAACTGCTACTGCATTGTGCAGCTGTCTTGAGAGGGAGACCAGGTGCCGGGGGGGGGTAAATGTTGAGGGCCGGTGTTCGCATTGAGGATGCTGCTATGTGCATTCAGTATACGACTTGAAACATCTTCCTCCGTTTCGACAAGCCGGATTCGAGCCGTTTGGCATCCGTCGCTGTGAGTCACGGAGCCCCTTACTCTGGCACCAAGTAGCAAACTGCGCCAGTGGTCGTCTTGACCTCTTTCTGGTAGAGGCCTGTGCCGCAGCCCCCTCTGTCTGTTTCGACCGTATTGGAAGCAGTGCACAAACGATGGGCATGAGGTCCCCAAAGAATCATTAATGAATGCTCCTCTCGAGATGCTTTAGAGAAGGGGCATGCTTCCGCACAGGTCCACGCAAAACTTCAAAACACGAAGGTAGAGCAACACGCCGATTCCTTGAAATGTTCTGCCGGTTGCTGGCACAAGAGACACTGGTCACTCAAAGAATCGGAAAACGTGCCAGATTGAGCCACGCCTTTGTCGCAGGCGCAGGTGGGATCCGCCGTACACCGCTTCGTTGTCGGGCATTTCGGCAGTTGAGGGTTTGGCTGCACATCCTTGGGCAGTCATACCAACAAGCGAGCAAGGGGCTTGATTGCTGGCACTGGCAGGACTGGGCTGCTGGTTGCAGTTGGCATCTCTACGACTCTACAATATGTCGTGTGTTCTTACATACGCATCGCTAGAAAAGGAGGCTCCACATCGGTTTAACCGGGTTGGAGGTGACCGGAGCATGTAACGGCTCGTCACACGATGAGACCAGCATCGTTCACGAAGAAGGCGAAGTTGTCCGCGTTGAGTAAGGCAGATTTCGGATCCTTCGCTGCCAAGCTCTGACAAGCGATTCTCCTCGGCAGCATGGCGCAAAGGTTTCACAGCTTGAACCGGCTTGCGACCCTGCTGGTGATCCCGCGTCTGTCCCGCTCTCAACATTATTTCCACGAGTCCTTGGGTAGGAAGGTTGCCGAGTGGATGGCCCTGATCCTAAACCCTGCTCACTCTTCGACGCTTCGGACAGTGCTGAAAGTGTGAACCACCTCTGCCATCAGGAACACGCCTTGCCTGCAAGTGAAGCCCCGTACGAGCAATAGCCGCAATTGGACATCTATTCGCATGCCTTCTACTCGAATACGACATACTATATACTATACACACTCTTGTTCTGAAAAATATCTTGTGTTAGATATCCTCTTCACTTGTCTGAGCGGCCCGTAGGCTACTCGGCAATCCGAGCCGGATCCTTCAAGGCAAACGTCGTCCCGCAGGGACATCCTGATAGCTGCTTGGACGCGTGTAGTTAGTAGAGCGTATTGTATATTGCCGTAGTACATTACGTAGTACTGACAGCATATTACAACTCGTCTAGTGTAGCATCGCGTTGCGTCTCGTGGCATGGCATGGCACGGCACGGCATCAGTGTAGTGTAGTATCAATAGTATAGTAGTATATAGAATATAGTAGACTACCGTATACTGTAGCGTAGCATCTTGAAGTATAGTGTTACGGTATGTACAGTACAGCATACATAGCCTAGCAGATAAGAGTGAGTATAGAGTAGGATACGATAGTATAGCATAGACGTCCGTATGTCCGCCTGTTCCTGCTTTGCACTCCCGCAACATGCATGCTATTGGGTTCCTCTGGTTCGACTCTGTCCTGCCGTTTGTTTCGTGGGTGTCAGGTTTGCTCCCTGAACCGGTTCATTCTCATTCTTCTGCGTTACAAGGGGCTCTGGTTCCGTACTCCTCCTTGGTCTTCCTTCTCTTGAACGTGTAGTAAAGCTGCTACGCTGCGCGTTGCAAGGCACCTCCTACTTGATCGCCTTTGGAACCCTTCCTCTCTTTTTAAGACGGACTTGAAGGAAAAGGCGGCCGTTCCGGCCAGACCCGGTTCAAAGCTCGTGTTCTCTCCCTCTCTCTCGTAACTGAGAACTCGTAAGTGCAGAACTGCCCGGGAACATTGCTTTGCCTTGGTACAAATGCTAGCCGCTGGCCAGCTACAAGGTTACTAGCTCTTCGGGTTACTTTGCCTATATGACAAGAAGTCTGGATCAACCCGTGACATATCACAACCCGCTTGCCCACCTGTGATGAGAGCCTTCGTGTACTAAAGTCTCCACCTGCTCTGCCGAGTCCACATTCATATACCTGCAGTGTCAAAGAACGGCGCGGCGCCATGCCCAAGTTTAACTGCCATGTCGGCTAGGACTAGGAAGCTGCAAGGTAGTCTTGGCCTTCGGATTTAGATATATTTCCATATTACAGCTGCAGAGTCCCAGTCTCTACCTCCCTTTGCCCGTCTTGGACGTCCGAACTCTTGCAGGCCGAGCTGCTTGTCACACAGGTAAAACAAATACTGTCCACCTCGGAGGCATGGACCACACGTCACTTCACAACTCACGCCACTGGGCGGTCCTTGTCGGCGAGGAGACCCGATGGGACATGCTTGCGCCAGAAGTTCGTTCCCGTGACATCACACGACGGTCGTGGCATGGGAAAGCGCAAGTTTCAGCGATTGAGCTTAAACTCCTCTGCTTGGAGTTTTGACCCTGGGAAGTGCCAGGATGCATATCTCAGGCATCACAGCAGCCGAATCCCTGAAGGTCTTCTGATGCGACAAACGAAGCTGGGATGCCCACGTTCGTTCCTCGGGTGCACAGGAGACGCCCAGGAGGAAGGACTACGAACAAACGTTTGCAACGGCACAGCTTCAGCAAGATACTGTCTGAGATCCTTACGCTGCACTCGCCACAATCATATCCGGTCATGAACACAGGTGCAAGCACACAGAAAACTTGACTTGACACCGGGGGAGCGAGCTTACTTTCAATCTCACCCCACAATGGGGGCTTGATCACGCACCTGGCAAGCCTAGCAGAACAAGGAAGCTCCCGGCCCGTGACATTGTACGACTATGCTCAAAACAATGTGCCCACGAGGTCAGAAGTCACTCAGCCTCGACATTATGCCCTCCCCCTGCACAAAGCCGGGGCTCATGTTGTGTGGTGGGCTCGGGATGACATAGGCAAATCTGTTCTCCGTGCACTGTGAGCCCGGGTACACATACTCCACGTTCGACAGCAGCTGGTCCACCTGCGCAAGGTATGACAATGCGTAATATGCGTCGACACAGTTATCATCTCACATGATGCCAGTAGCAACAGAAGCGCTTGCAGTCCAACAGGCGATGCTATCTCCTACAAAGTGACAGTGCGCCTTCGGCCAGTTCCTATGTAGTGCCATAGTGCCTGGTTGAGCAGCCGCCTCACTTCCTTCTTTGTCGGGACGTCATCTTTCCCAAACCATCTCGCCCTTACTCGGCGCAAGTCACACGGTGCTCGGGCATGCTGCACACGAACCACGCGCGTGATGCATTGCTGGCCGAGTATCAGCTCATCATCTGCCTGCAGCGACACGACTGCATCAAACTCAACAGCACCCTCGTCACAGGCAGCTTTGCACGGTCTCCGCAAGACAGGGGAACGAGAACCGACATCCCGTCAGTACCTTGGCAGTGGCGATGGAACGCGTAGCCGTTGCCATATACGCTTGCCTCAGCTCGCTTGGATTTACCCGCTGGCCCGACCAACAATCGGGTACAGACAGACCTTCTGTATCATCGCCATGGATGGTGCTGAAAGCATTTGCAAGGGATGGTGGGGACAACAACCGCCGGCTCAAACACCAAGTCCAACACCCCGTCTTCTGAAGCAAAGAAGCGCCCGGATGGCATTCTTCTGGACTTGGTCCTGCCAGTTCGCCCTGCGCAGGATGCTGGAAGGTTGCCGTGGTAGAGAGAGACATAAGCCCAACGTACGGTAGCTCCGGCGCAAATGCGTCTGCGCTTCTGTCCCACAACGCAACGACTGAGGCCTGAAGCAGCTTTGACTTCCGAGTTGCCCGATCTTCCGTTCGAGATATGGCTGCCGGGTTTTGATCGGAAAAGGTGCCGTTGTGACTTGCCCCTCTATCCTGCCTGGCTGTCTCCAGTAAGGAGGTTGCACTGGATGCAGATGACACCTGCAAAAGGGACTGCCAAAGGACACATTTGATCTCAGAGGAGCGAAATGATCGAAATGCTCGATGTCACGGATCAAGGCTGAGCGCTCTCGACGGGGCCTGGATATTGTTCAGCGGGTAGATGCGAAAGAGGTTCGCGATGGCCTGGTCAAGAACCAAGTACCGGGTTGACATTGACCATAGCAGACTGTCGGTTTTTTGAAACGGCTATGTGATGAAACCTCGTACGGTCACTTTAGAAACCCAAGGGAGCAAGTGCCACCAGGCTGCGACCCTGATTGCATCTGCCGTGGCTTCCGGATAGTTCAACGCATCTAACCTCTCAGCCGCACGAAATCCGTACATGTGATGAAGGCTGCACTCCGTCGACGACGAACTACTACTCTGGAGGCGCCGGCTGATCCTGATGCTGCTGGACTCTCGCTGCTTGGCGGCCCTATCTCATTTTTCCAACCGCTCCGCACTGGCGACTCTTTGCCACTGGACTCTGTCACAAGACACCAGTTTCTAGTCGCAAAAGTGTAGGCTTTGCAGTTGCCTCAAATTCTCTTCCTTAATTTGTTTACCCACCTGGGTCGTCTGTCGCCGAGGGTCGACGTATGCGCAAAGCATGTGACCGCAAAACTTGCCGCACCTAGCAATTGGCGATGCTCGGCCAGCTGGCCGGCGAGCCTGGAGCCGATGAACAGCTCCGGTGAACCAACGGCACCGGCCAGGCACTGGCAGAGCTTTCGCAAGGTGTTGGCCTGGTGCATGTCTCAGCACAGACGATGAACGGTCTTGAAGATGTTCTCCATCGTTCTCCGTGAAATTATTGACAGGCCCGCCTGCAGGCTGCAAAGTGATTAACAAGCACGTGTAGGCCGCAGCCTGTACGCGCTTGCTCCGCTCCCGGCAAGGTTCCAAGATGGCGCGCATCACCAAGGGCAATGTTCCGCTGACGGGCATGATGACGCCGGGCAGAAGCAATGTCAATCTCAGACAGGCGGCACTTCGCAAAAAGGGCTGCTCTGACGTAAGCCGAGAGGCACTGGCACCAACAAATTATGCAAGGACCACGCGCCTGGATGCCAGCGTCTTGCTGTTTCCATCAAGTGGCATGAAGCTTGGCAGCAAGCATTGGAAGCATGCGAGAGCACGCTCTTTGGTGCGTGCCTGCATAGCCAGCAAATCTATGTTTCTGAATGAAATTTGACGGCGTGGCGCGGCAGACGCATTGGATGCCCTTGCCAAAGGCATCCAATGCATCTGCCGCATAATGCCGTCAAGTTTCACTCAGAAACATAGATTGCGCAGCTGCCTTTCAGCCTGGTCCACATCACTGAAACCACCCTCTTTGTGAAATCGTAGGTGGATCTTCTCCAGGGCATCGGGTCAGTCAGCCTGTAGCCCACATCCATCATGTCTGCTGAGCTGCAGAACAAGTACGCCAGAAGGACCTTGGCCTTGGCGAGTTCAGAAAGGTTTTGCCTCTCCGAACTGCCAACTCTTCACGCCGAACATCCACGTCAGCGTGTGCTCCAGCACGGACCATTGACCACGTGATCCTGCGACAACACAACCCAGCACTGCTCGATGGCAGAGCAAAAGAGGCCCTTACTCGCGAGCCTCGGCGCTTTGGCGATGAGCGACGATGCTCAGCATCTTCGCTCATCGCACCAGCGAGGAAGCTCCCCTTTCAGAGGTGCCCTGGGCTTGAGGTACTGCCACATCAGAAGATTGCCTCGGCAGCCAAGACGGGAGTCTCAGGTCGAGCAGCTCGGCGGTGCCGGCAAGATCTTGGCACGCCATTTGCACGAAAGCTGGCAGGTGCGGCTGAACTCGGTGGAATGCCACCGAGTTCAGCCGCACCTGCCTGCCCTGCCCCAGCAGATCTTCGGCTGTGAGGATGAAGGACCTACCACCCGCCAGTACATCTGCATTGTGCACATGCAATTGCTGGAAGAGTTTGTCGGTCAGCCTTGAGAGATGTTTTAGAGTCTAAGCGGTCGTCATGTTTACACCGTGAACATCGGGACGAACCCCAGATGTGACTGCAGCTGGCCGAATCCGGAGAGAAGAGTTTGGATGCGGTAGGCATGGTAGGGGCCTGCTGGTGATTGTTTGTCATGCCGAGGCCAAAATTTCTTGTAAGGTCGTGGGCCAAAGAGGGTGGCGTAAGATCTTGGTGGCTCAGTGCCTTTGTCACTTGATGTCACTTGCATCACTTGCATGTGCGTATAAAAAGCCTCTGTTGCCTGGTCAACAAGGCAAACCTCGCTGTTCTGCTTCAGCAAATTCTTTAGGTGGATGCCGGCACTCTGCCGGATATGGATGGACTTCGCTTCGAGCTCGACAAAGATCCTCGACAAAGCCACCAGGAAGTCTGGCCGTTTTCCAAGCTGCTGCATCACACTCAAGACCTTCTTTTGAATCTCACCATTAGGGACGAGCGAAGCCTCCAAGAGCCTGCAGATCCGCTCCATTTCTGCGGAGCCCGCCTCTGGGGCAGAGCCCGGTTTGAGCCCAGCTAAGTCGCCGGGCCCTGGCGTGGCCATCGCAAGGCTCATGGCGCTGGACTCCCACTGGAGCGCGAAAGCACTCCGAACGTCAAAATCAATCTAGCCTCGTGGCGTACTTAGTGGCTTCGTGGTCTTGCTGTGTACTCGATATGCTGGTAGGGGAATGCTTCTCCGACAGACAGGACTCTTGTCGAGCCTGGGGCTGCAGGCTGGCGCAGTATGTGGGACGCGACTCTCCGGCACTCAGACAATGCAACACGCGATGAATTCTTCCGGCACTCACACTCAGATCCAGGGCTTGCGCCCTGGTATGAAGCGCACCCGGGGAATGCTAAGCAGGATGCTACACTTCCAGGAGCTATGCGCCAGTATGCCAAATAGAAACAAAGCAAGCAAAACGCGCAAATCAAATCGAACGAAAATAAGCATGGAGCCCCTTGCATTGCCGTTTGACAGCAGGTTCCTCCTCTCTCATTGCTCGTTTTCGATGCGCAGCAATAGACTCGTGCAGACTTTCAGGGTACCGTTTCCGAGGGCGTTTATGCTGTGGAAGCACATTAGGAGAACGATAGCCAATGTGAGTCGCGCATGTTCGGGCTGATATCTGCTCACACAGCGAGGCTGCAGATGCTACGGCCGGCATCGCAACCAAGGAACACCGCCAGGTCGTCAGGAGTCGTTGCCATCTGATTTGCGAGAAGCTCCTGCGGCAGACAGAGGCTGCAGATTTGGATGCGCAGCTTTGGTCGAGCTCTTGAGGGCTACAGTTGCTTGTGTTCGGAACTCTCGTGGACTGTCACGGACGGGTCGTTGTGAGCTCTTGCTTTTGCATGCCCTCACACTGCTATAACCATGTCCAACATGCATGACGATTGCGCACGCCACATCTGGACTCCAACCGAAGCCACCAGCACCTTGTACTTGGCCACGTCAGTGTTGGCTTCATCTGCCAGGTTGCAAGCTGCGATAAGGGATGGCGACCAAACTTCCGATGCAAGCGAGAGGAATCGGGCTATGATGCTGGGGCGAACTACTCCCTTCTCCGTAGCGCAGTTGCCCTGCCTCGCTTTGCCAGCTCCTGGCTTCCCTCGCCATAGACCTGCCCAGGTCAATTCCGATGTGATACTGCCACGAGCAGCAGCTTGCATACCATGCACGCACTGAAGGAGCTGGAAGGGTGAGTTGAAACAAAGGTTACCAGGGCCAGAAAGAAGTACGAGGACGGGAATCTAGACATGGCTGACAGGAGATCGGCAAGCGAAGTGTTCGAGGCGCCTGACCCCAGATCGTGATGTCTAAGGCCTGAGGTCAACCAGCCTGAAAGAACCCGCCGGTCGGGCCCGGCCTGCTCTGCCGGCAGATCGTCTTCCAGCGTGCTCCTGCAAAAATCTCCCTGACTACGGAGGAAGAAGCAAACATGCGTTCGTGCGCTTGCGCCTGTTGCGAAAGAGTCTGATGCCACTCTGCAGCGCGAGCTCTTAGGCAGACAGTCCTTGTGCTGGCTCCGAGCGCTGTGTCCTGATCTTTACGTTTCCAAGCTTGAGTTATCTGGCTCTACTTCTCGCAGGTATTCGAGAAAGTCGTTAACACGCTCTGTGTGTGTGTGTGTATGTGTGTGTGTGTTTACACGCAGCCAGCTTGGCATCGATACCATGCGCAGTTTGTGCCAATCAAACACGGTGTTAGGGACCCGAAGTAGCTTGGGTTCCGGCTCGACATGATCAAGATGGAAAAAGCCGATCCATGAGGTAGAGCTTTGGACTCTTGCGCAGTTGCTGACCAAGCACGGGCCGAATGAGCTCCAGTGTGTTCCAAAAGACTGGGCGCAGCAATTCTTTGGCTTAAATAGTAAACTTTGCCCAAGTGCGGCCTGTAGCGTAGCCTACGTAGACCAGTATGCCATCACACGACAACTACCACGGTGACTTGGAGCGACTTTTCATCCGAGGTGCTGAGACATCAATGTCGCAGATGGCTTTCGTCTGACCGTGTGGGATGTAGCACGCCTGGCATCACACTGTGCCTTCGTTCATGTTCATTGAGGAGGTCTAGCCTCCAGCCTCCCTGCACATGCTTCGCGAAGCTCGTCACAGGAACAAAGAAGCTGGATGCAACCGTGGATGGAAACAACGAGCTATACTTGCTGGCAAGCTTGCTATGCGACCCAGCGAAATAGAGTGGCAGCAGCATGCTTGTGAATTGCAAACGAGGGAGGACATAGGTAATTACTCCGAGGTGCAATATCTGATGTTGGTGGCCGGCGAGCAGAGGGAATGCTGTCCACCACGGCTGCCTGGATGCTCCAGACGATGCGCAAAGTGTGACAGGTCCATCGCATCCACTGCTCCAACTTCATGGACTCGCATTGCTCCTTCAACCCGCAACACCACCTCTAATTCATCCTCACAGATCTGGATGCCCTCGATGCTGGTCATCATCTTGCAAGCTACTAGCAGCCGCGAACAGCTGGCACCAGGAGTACATGGCATATCACACGCCTGCACCAGTAAAGACAAGAACAATTAGTGCAAGCGGGGCAGCGCAAAGCTCTACGCAGTCCACCGCGAACGCCTGTCGAAGCCGTGATGTCTCGTCCAGCGTCTGTAAAAGCTTGAAAGCACTCATGTCGCCCTGTAAGCGCAGGAGCTCTTCCGAAAGGCAAAGGTCCAACAGCAGCCGTGGATGGGGGCTGTGAGGCTGGAGGCCGGAGTTCGGAACAAGTAAGGTCCTTCATTGCCAGGCGGGGGTGGCTCGTGTTTTTCCTAGCTAGCGGATAATTCCACACTGCTGGGCACAAAAGACCTTGTTGAGATGTCCGGGCTACGAGTCAGTTTTGATGTAGCTCCAATTCACAGAGAATGAGACCAGGCCCAACTAAAGACCAACAACCTGTACCGATTGCCTTCCAGGACACAACCAAGGCAGTGGACTACGGTCTTATCGTTATCAGCTCTCTTATCGCGACGAACCTGCCCTGTTCCGGGCTAGTCGGCCCTCGCTGCATGGGCAGGCAGGGATGTATCCGGCCAGCACTCTCAAACTACTGAAACAAGCGAAGCACATCCCGGGGCCCACAGACTGGGCTTTGCAACGGGGGCGCTATGGCAAAGCCTGGGAAGCCTCAATCGGAGAATTCCCCCCCTCTCTGCTTTAAAACTGCGCTGCCTTTCTCGCCAGGGCTTTCGGATCGTCCTGGAAGACAAGGAGCCAGGAATAGGCTTAAACATTGCCACACCGAGCTTGAGTAACCATGATCGCACCCCTCCCTCCACCTGGTCCCTCACTCACGTGCTCGAGTCGGTCATGCTGTGATGCCATGGGGGTTTTACAAAAATGACTCTCGACGTTTGGGATCACGCAACCAATTAGCCGTCTCAGGCCTCACCCGATTCATTCCTCTTCCATACTTACCAACTCGGAGGATAGGGAAGAGTTCTCATCCTTGCTCTGCTCAGGCAATCTCATTTGCGCGAGGGGTCTGAAATTCAGGAGTACGGCGCAACCATTGGTTGGCTGCAGGGCCGCAAGTCTCCACTGACGAAACAGCATGTGCAGAATCAGTTAGCTTCTCTGTCAGTGTCTAGTCTACCCTGCGCATCCCACGGCCGAAAGCATAAAGACGGCTTTTGAACGAAATGACCCGACCTGGATCCAAGGATGGCTTGGAGGAGCCCTATACCCTGAAACCCCACCATTCAAAGACTTTGTTTAAGGACCCTCCCTCTGCAATGCATTCCGGTCTAGGGTGCTGGGCTTCTTGGGGGTTTAGGTTGCGGCTCGGGCAACAGCAGGAAGACATGTACAAAGCCCCTGGAAACAAGCCACGGGGAGGAGCTCCGTAGAACTCCAGGGTAAGACTGGCTGTGAGGGCTGGCCTCTTTGTTCTTGAGGCCCAATCCTTGCAGAAACCTCAGAATCTGTTTACGGTTTAAGGCTCAAAGGCTGTAGGAACCAGGGGCGGTAGCCTTTCACAACTGAAGTGCCGACAAGAACAAATAGAAACCACCCCACTTGCACACTACACCCGTACCCCAAATCCACCCAAAAAATCAAGAGCCAACCTGTCGATTGTTCCCGGGCAAGGGAAAAAATTTTACCTGAACCACTACACCCCAAGCATGCCTGCGCTCCACCTAACCTGTTGGCGCCAGGCCAAAAATCGCACACTAGCTGCAAACGGCCTTGAGAGTAGCTTCCTGCATGATCCCCTTGTAATTGCAGCGAACAATGTCCACATCATGAGGAACATGACATCTAATATTGTGATTCTCATGAGCTGCGTCTCAGCTGTGAGTTGAAGCTGCTTAGGGCTGTGGACTTGCAAATGTTTGCTGATCTGGCCACCCCATAACCAAAGCCTGCACTACAGTTTCACAAAGGAGCTCTCGAATGGAGCGGCGTGAAACCATCATTTGCTCCGAAAGCTCGGCGGCATGCACCACCTGCGACGTGACGTCTGGGGGTTGGACACGGCTTCATTGAACGAATTGACCTGCGGATTTGCCATGACTTGCCACAAGATTCGGCAGATGGATCAGCGGACCGAAGCACATCAAACACGTCGCTATTCTCGCGTCTCCTCTAAAGTGGATCATCTAATGAATCTAATGTATGTTCTGGCCATATGTACGGTCATGCGCATAGCAAAACATAACAGAATGAACTACATTAAGAATAAAATAGAACATTATGCAACACAACACGGTGGACAATGATATACCATACCATTAAGCATGTGCACCTGCGTGGATCTGTCAGTCGTGGAGTTGTAGTACTCGGTAGTCAGCTTGTTGACTCCCGTGCCTCGGTTGATGCTTATCATACGTTAAAACGATTTTGGGAACGCAGGGAAGCAGTGCCTGACTCCTGCTGTGAAGCTAGTATTTGACGAGCACTCGCTTGCTACCGCCATCCTTTTACTATTGTCGTCGCTGGACCCTCGAATACTCCGCTCCGTCCAGATGCGCTAATTTATCAGAAATCTCTTGCAATCTGATCCTGAGTCTCAGGTGCCTGGGGTCCAGTCCCTAGTCTCCCGTCTCGTCTCGTCTCAAGGAGCGTCTGGTGTCTTGGGTCTCGCGTCCCCGGTCGATACCATGCCGTCTCGCCCGTTGTGGACGGAGCGGTGGGCATGTGCATTAGGGGCTTGTGATTCCGTCATTGAAGCACCATGCCACATCGTAGAGTCAGTCGCACATCCTCGTCTTGGCCTATCTAGAATTTCAATCAGTAGAGTGCGATTACTTGCTGGAGCTCAATTACCGCAAGTTTTCATGTCATCACTACCGTGCAGGCACTACCACCAAAGCTACTCCGACAAGTGTTCGTCTGTAGATGCTGAATCTTCGGCTCGCTCTCTCTTTCCTGATTTACTCTTGCCAGTGTTGCTACGAGTACTGTTCCTAGTGTCTGTATCTATGTATGTATGTGTGTATATGTATATATATATGTACAAATAATATGTATTTTACATATCTACATACATACATGCATGCATGCATACGTACATACATACATACATACACACCTCTACCTATGTGTTTGTATGTGTATGTATATATATATATATATTGATTGATTGATTGTCATGATTTGGTTGTAGAAAGGAACGAACTGACGCTGCAGCAGTGTGACAGGTCTCCTCAACAATGGCTGTGTCACACAATGCCGGATGAGGGCCGTCTTCATACCTCCGGGCAAGCGAAGGCTTGCTAGATGTGCAAACCACTCGAGACGGCAAAAGTTTATGTCACGTGACAGGCATGGTTTGGTCAGCTTCTGTGTCCCCCTCCACGCGGTTTCTGAGGCAGGCAATACAGTGGCATGTGTCTGTTCTCGATGAAGCGATTGCATGGTGCTGGAGCCGGTGCATTAGCAGCAATAGCAGGCTTTCGCGCCTTTCAACTGCGAGAGATGGGCCCGGAAGTTGGGACCACTGAAGGTCACAGGCCCTGCCTCTTCTTGCCTGACAGCTGGAGCGCTTGCAGAGCGCAAGTGCCATCCTGGCATTCGTCGTTCTCCGCAAGCCAATCTCCTGTACATGTGATTTCGACTCAAACAGCTGGGACTGCCGGGCGGGGCCGTGCGTCTCGCTTCGTACTGCTTCTCATGAACTCACCTTGTGCAGCTGGGGAGGCAAGCAGCGTCAGCAGCAAATATCTGAAGCACCTGCGGCGAGCTGGCTCGATAGTGGCACACATCGACGGAAACTCTGCCAATCTCCGACCACGACCACTAGCGCCAACAACAACAACTACTACTACTACTACTACTAGTAGCCAACCCCCCCCCTACCAACTACACTCCGTCATGGTCGTCAACATCATCATCACCAACATCACGAGACCTCAATTTCATTTCATCACCAACATCACCAAACCTCAAACACATTTCATCACCAACATCACCAAACCTCAAACACATTTCATCACGAAAGTACTGT